TGTTACATCACCCACAATAAAATCGTTTAAAACAAAGCTGAAGAACTATCTTGAGCTTTAATCGTTTTAAAACAAGGTGGCAAAGTTTATAGATTCTCAGAACTTTTTTTGCCTTCCCAATATCGTGTTTTTGTTTTGTTTTTGTTTATGCAACAGATGTATATTTGTGTTTCTTTTTTTCACTATCTATCATCTACTTGGGGCCACTAAAATATAAATCAATCGATCAATCAAGTTTCTTTTCTTCGAATATTCCATCTTACATTTTTGATAACTTCGTGCATGAACATGACAGTACACAAACGCGAAAGAAGGAGGAAGTCCCGACTCTTTGGCGAACTACATAGGATGCCACTTATCAATTTCTTAACATCAATAAGGCAAGAGCTTGATCACGGATTAACAATATTGCCGCAAATTCTATTTCATTCAAAAAAAAAGACAACAGAGTTCGATGTATTTACTACGGTTCCTAGCCTCTCACTGAATTTTATTCGAAGAATAAAATCACCAACACATTAAAACAGAAAAAATAACTCTCTCCAGTGTGTAAACAAACAAACACTATATATAATTGCAGAAAGAATATTGACTCAACGCAAATTGAGTCAACATTCTTTGTGGTCATGCGAAACGATAACATATGTGGAAAGAATGTTGTGAGTCAACATTCTTTCACTAGAATATGAAGAGACAAAAGAAGATGAATGTATGGCAAACTCTCTTGTTTTAGCGAAAGGAGGAACATAAACTCTGAATAATAATATTTTATCGGTACTTTCGCGAAATCAACCGCTATTACGTACGTATAATAAAGAGTATGCGCTAGCATGTTATTGTTTTAACGAATGTATTGATTAAGATTTTGACTATAATCGAAAGCTTAAAGAAAGAAAAGACACTAACAGAGCTGTTTGATTAGTGTGTTTTCTTTCTCAAACCTGCAAATAACTTTATACTCGTTATATGTCATTTTTGATTATAACTTTTTTCGAGAAGAAAGAAAGAAAGAAAGAAAGAAAGAAAAGAAATGTACATCTTTACGTGTGAACTTAAATATGCCATTTTCAGCAATGGTAATGCAAAAGAATCAATATTGCTTACCACGTTTTAACACATTTCTTATCGTTCCAACTACTTGGCTGTAAAGCGAGAAAAACATACTAGAATATGATTAGTGTCAATACAAATGCCGAGTTATCCGCTTTCCAAAGCAATAACGTACAAGAAACAAGCGCAGGTAGAAATTCGACATAAGAAAAATAGATTTATTTATTGAAGAACCGTTTTTCGTATAGTATTATCGTATCCGTTGATTAAACAAAACAAAGATATATATGGACAATTAGCAACAGAAGAATACGCGAAGAAGAAACAGTCACTATCAAATGGTGAAGAAAAAGTATCAAAAAAATCAACTAAACTACCCCGTTGGTGGCTGGTATTACCATGTTTATTGAATATAACAGCGATAATAACAATAGAACCAACACTTATGAATGATCTTATAGTAACACGTTTTGAAAAACGATATAATCTGTATATCACAACTAATGATCAAGAACGATCAGCTTGTTTATCTAAAATCAACAATAATGACAACAGTCATAATACTACACACGTGCACTACAACAAGGTACAACAGTCAGTAGCAAAATTAAACATTTATACATCCGTAGCATCGGTTATTCCGACATTTATCAGTTTCATTCTGTTTAGTGTGAATAGTGATATTATTGGACGTAAGCCTTTAATTATTTTACCCTATCTAGGTAAAACATGTCGATATATTATTTTGTTGATCGTTATAAAACAAAATTTAGCCGATATATGGATTATAATAGCGGAGGCTATTGATAGTCTTTCTGGAACAAGTTCGCTAATTGTTTTAAGTTCATTTGCCTATGTATCAGATTGTACAACATTAAAAACACGAACAGTAGCATTAATTATAACCGAAGCATCAATGGCCATTGCTCGAATTCTACCTTCAATGGGTATTGGATTTTTATTAAAATTAAAGCATTATATGTTATTGACAAGTGTCATCTTAGTTCTTAGTATAATAGGTACGTATTAATCATATTAAAGTTGTACTTAACGTAGATCTCTCTTTTTTCAGGTCTTTTCTATGCAATTTTTCTTCAACCAGAATCGGTATTAAATGTTAAACATTTGAATCTATTTAGCAAATTAAAACTAATTCGTTTGAAGCCCATTTCAAGAGTAATCAATGCATTTACTATTAAACGTTCATCGAATAATCGTCAAATTCTAATACTTTTGACATTAATACAAGTAATGTCATTTTTAATGATATTTAGTGCAAATTCCGTATTCACTCTATATTTATACGGTCAACCATTATGTTATGGACCATTAGATGTTAGTCTACTCACCGTGGCACAAACAATATCAATAATTTCTTTATCGATCGTAATTACTACAATATTTCATCGACAATTAAACACCTTAACCATGCCTGTGATTGGATGTTTAGCATTTATGATTCATTTAATCATTGTGGGATTAGCAAAAGTAAAATGGTTATTCTATGTTGGTGGGTACAGTGATTTTGTGGTTAATTTCTATTTTCTATCATATTTCAATATTTCTCTCATTGTAGCTGTGTGTACCGGAAGTTCCTTTTACGTAACTCTATCCATTTTACGTTCTAAGGTAACAAATGTAGTAAATGACAATGAATTTGCTTTAGTATTCATAGCAACGGGTTTAGTCGAATCTGTTGGCACGTATTTAATTGCTGTTGGAGCTAATTTTATTTATAATATAACGATACATATATATCCCGCCACAATATTTTTTATTTCATGTGGTATGGGTATTATTCCTCTAATATTACTTGGGTAATTACAAAATCTAGTAGAAATATAAAGTACTTAAAATTAGTTTTCTGTTTCAGATATTTAACTTACATTGAGCGTAATTCCACATCATCAAAACAAGCATTAAGTAACGTTGCGAAGACCGATGTGTAACGAAAATGAAGTGATCTAAATATCAAAATATCGACATAATAATGACATCAGTGATATAAAGTCAAAACGAAATCTTGCTTATGTGTAGTGTTTTTGTTGAAGAAAAAAAGATCAAGATAGTTTTAATTTATACTGTTAGTTTGATGTAATATGATAGTTTTAATCCGTTGCTATGAATATCAAAGCAAATTCATTGTCATTTACTACATTTGTTACCTTAGAACGTAAAATGGATAGAGTTACGTAAAGGGAACTTCCGGTACACACAGCTACAATGAGAGAAATGTTGAAATATGAGAGAAATGTTGAAATATGATAGAAAATAGAAATTAACCACAGGATTGCTGTACTCACCATGTAACGGAAATTGACCGTTCCTCGGTTTATTTCTAACGCCAACTTTCCATTTTCTATGATATATTTTATAATATATATATGGTATTTCTATAATATTTTCGTTCCGTTGCCACTTTTATTAACAGAAACAGCAAAAACAAAATATTTACATTTCAATATGCTCACCTTATAACTCCTTAGATGTACAAACTATAGCACACGTTATGAGTAGTTTAACTTGGCATATCTAGAGTTATTTATGAATATGCATATATATATATATATTTTTGTATATAGAAAAAATTAAAAAGTACATGCATACATATCTCATAAATCAGTTTAAAACAAAATACATCAATTCTGTTATTCTGATGATGATGAGATAACTCGTCGAAATATCAATAATAAACTAATCTTACTGAGATTTGAATAATCATGTTCGTAGCAGTGTTGTATTTCTTTTTACGCTATTATCCTTCTTCTCTTTATTCAATCACCCTCACTCTTAATCAGTTCTCGTACCCATAGTAAGAACTTAAATCATATGTTTTCAACGTTTTTGTTTCTTTGTTTAGGCAATAATGAGAAACGTTCAGCTATTCGTGTTAGCTTTCAATTGTATTGTGATTTTTTCGGATTCTAACATATCCGAATACCACATACATATTTTCCAAGACACATCGAATGATAGTCGAAAACCTACAGAAAACATTCCTCCCGATTGAAAAAAATGCGAAACATGGCGCCGTTTTTTCTCATTATCCTGCCCCCTGAGGCCGCTGTGGGTATAGGAAAGGTCGGTGTGAAAAATTCGGGTGACCACTCATTTTGAAGATCTTTTCATGACGAATCTAATGGTGATGTCAAAATTCGATTTCAATCCTTCTTGACCCCATTTAGTGACTTCGCAATGAAAAGTAAGAACAGAAACACCTATGGAAAAACACGGAAAATCGACCAAATATACGGTTGGATAGCAGAAGCTCTAAACTTTCCAACCATACCAACCGTTTGTGTTCATCGCATACTAATCAAAAGTTATTTAAGAAATGGCCATCCTTTTTCTTTTTTGAAATGGATAATAGTACAACTCGGGCTCCTTATGACGAATATCACGTTTAAAAAGTTTTAAAACAACGGTATGGTGGTCTTCCAGACAAGTGGAAATCTGGAGAACATTTCCAGCAGAACAGCCCTTTTGTGGGCATTTTTACCATTTTTTAGTGGAAACTTTCATGAGCTGACACCGTCCGATTAGATTCTATGTGAGCAGGGCTACAAAATCACTAGCAGATAAAATGTTAAGCACCTTCTCAGAATAATTTTAAAAAGACTCTTTTACTACACGACACCAATGAACTGTTGACCATATTCAGCTCGAATAATCCTGAAAATCATTTCACTTGTCATATCCGTAATAAAATCAACACGTTGATCAGGATCATTAAACATTTTGTTCGGATGAAAGATGTTTTGAATAATGTAGTAGAATTTTGAGTGTCGTCATCACATTCATCAATGTCAGAATCCATCCAAATAAGAGCAAAGTTTTCGATGAAACGAGATGGCGGTTGTTTTGAACGGTGTCCGAAAATATATTTAGCAGATATGACAGAGCACCAGGAGCTGATACTTCAGTAAACTTCAATGCTTCTACCCATTTTTATATTTTCTACAACCACATTGTGGACAGATGGTGTTAAAAATAAACCGAGGAACGGTCAATTTCCGTTACATGGTGAGTACAGCAATCCTGTGGTTAATTTCTATTTTCTATCATATTTCAACATTTCTCTCATATTTCAACATTTCTCT